ACTATTTTTGTTGACCTTTGTCCATGGAAGGTCCCTGCAAAATTTCATTGAAATTGGTTCAGGGGTTTTGGAGAAGAAGTCGAAAATGTAAATTGTTTACGGACGCACGACGGACAACGGACGACGACGGACAAAAGGCGATCGCAATAGGTCACTTGAGACTTTGTCTCAGGTGACCTAAAAAGTATGGTTAGTTTAATGTTTGGGCAAAGTAATTGAAAGTATGATTTGTATAATGTTTGAGACCAATAGTTCAAAGTAGGTTAGCTTAATGTTTAAGCCCCATAATTAAAAGTATGGTTAGTTTATCATTTAAGACAAATAGTTCAAAGTAAGGTTAGGTTAATGTTTGGGCCCAATAGTTCAAAGTAAGGTCAGTTTAATGTTTGAGACCAATAGTTCAAAGTATGGTTAGGTTAACGTTTGAGACCAATAGTTCAAAGTATGGTTAGGTTAATGTTTGAGACCAATAGTTCAAAGTAAGGTTAGGTTAATGTTTGAGATAAACAGCTCAAAGTAAGGTTAGGTTAATGTTTGAGACCAATAGTTCAAAATAAGGTTAGGTTAATGTTTGAGATAAACAGCTCAAAGTAAGGTTAGGTTAATGTTTTGGCCCAGTAGTTAGAGCATTAGGAGAGTAACCTTTGAGCAGTTCAAAGTATGGTCACTTTAGTATTTGGGCACAGTAGTCGGAAATCTGGTCACATTTACATTTGAGAGTATTACAAGAATGATATTAGGGCTGACAATTTAGCATTTGGGTCATGCCATTTAGACAAGTTTGGGCGAGATAATACAAAGTATCATGAGAATAATATATGGGCTTAGCACTTCCAGGTTAGACTAGATCAACGTTTGGGCCAGAGGTCCAAATCTAGTTGGAAAGAATCTAGAAGAAAGACACACAAAATAGAAGAACTTTGTGAGAATTTGAAAAATCTAATACTGAAGTTAATGACTTGATACATTACCTTACCAATATCTGAACAAAAGGTATCGGATTCTGTCCCTCGTAGCGTAAGATACAAATTTGTTCTCAGATACATACAGACATTATAGACTTACACGACACACAAACGGAATCAACCAGGACTAACAAAGTCTTATCAGCTTCAAACTTATTTCAATGAAGCACTTTTTCTAAAAAACAAAGCTGAAATTGCTACCTTAAACTGAATCCTTAGGAACACTGAGCAATCTTGGAAAGAATAAGTATATAACATTATTAATATAAGTTTTAATCCATATCGGAAAAGATTGAATTTTGAAAATTGGAATTAAGGAAGCATAAAGCCGATGAATCTTCGCGTGCCGGAGACCTGGAATTGGAGAATTACTGGTGTGCAGTGCTTCACAGCAATGATGTAATTTGTAATAGTATCATGAATGAGACTGTAGAAATGGGACAGCTAGGCAGCTTTAAATTTCTATCGGTATTCTATTGTCATTGACAAAATGTATTGGACAGTTAAAGGCTGTAATTATGACTTGCCACACAGTCGAACGAAACATAAAATGGCGGAGGTTCCAACAAATCAAATCTGCATCTGTAATGAATTGGACCTGCTCTGCTAAAACTGTCCATGTTCTATGGCGTTAAATAAAATGTGTGCGGTGCTAAATCTAATAATCCTATAAGTGAGGGGATTGGATTGTCAGGATCGAGTTCTATCGTGTTCTCTCAGATCACACCAGTACTGGGTGACGGAACGCTAACAGGACTGATGTTGTATGGGCCGGCCACATGATTGTGTGTCAAACCGTCCACACAACTACATGTGTCTGTACGTTTAGGTCCCTGTGACTAAAGGGCTTATTGTATTTGCCATCATATGAACACCCTGAACAAGTCAAGCACCAGGAAACCCAGGCAGACGAGATTTCAACTCAGAATAGCACAACACTTTTATGATCACTGGTGTAACTTGGTTAGTCAGAACACTTATTCATCTGTTTTTATTGAAATTGAAAATAAAAGTATTTATGGATATATGGATCCCTTGCAATTGAAAGTAATTCCGCGATAGACATAAGGCTCCTATGAAGGAGTTTCCTCAATTACAAGTCTGGATTAACTAACACTGGAAATGCTGTACGACATACCGGAATACCCTCCCCTGATTATTGAGTTCGGAATTAACAAGGTTGCTAACATACATACCATGGCTGAGTAGTAGAACTTCTCAAACTCCTTTTGCTGGGCCCGGATGGCCTTTAGATTGTCGGCGAGGTGAACGTAGCGCTGGAAGAAGTCCTCCCCACAGCCTGACACCCAGGAAAGCACCTGTAAAAGACAATGCACGGTCAATATCCGGACATAAGTCTTTGTCACTCTAACAGCAATGGTCACTCTCTGGACACAAGTCCCGGTCACTCTTTCTACGACGATCACTCTCCAGTTACAGGTCACTCTTGCCACGATGGCAAACACACTTTGAAATGTCACCACATTTACCACCTTCGAACACAACCAACAAATGACCGCTGACCACAGCCTCATGGACACCCAGTATGTGACCATCACTGCCACAGTGCCATCTACAGTTCAGATGAGAAATTTTCAAATGTTTGCAATACTCTCCTCTGACTCAAAGTTCCTTTGGACATTGAAAATCGACAGAAATATGTCCAAATAATGGATTCTTCTAACTTGTTTCAATGAGACTTATGTGCCACTGTAATGTAAATATTCATTTGAAGAAAACGAAGTAATATTTGCTCATCCTTATATCCTTAGAAAAGATACTGAACTGGTTCATATACATCCTGGCTAGACTTCAGAAGTACTGTCCTTACCCTGACCTGACTAGGCACTGTACCTAGCCGGCTATAAAACAGTATTCAACCCTACAGCTGTACTCCTGACGGATGATGCTCCACTTTTCTTACACTGATTTAGCTGATTTCTTGGCTAAAAACATGAGATATGTCAGTTCCTTTACCTTACTCTTCAAACCTGTGAGGTAACTCCTGAAGGATAAACTTACTGGTATCAAATATAACGTCTGGTGGATTAATTGGTCGGCTCTACCTCCATCCAGAGGTGTCAATTATCATTAGTAGATCACAAACTTCTCACTCCCAGAAGCCCATGTTTACCAATTCACAGTTTTAACCCCATCTGTCTTCGGTGTAGGGTTACCTCGGATACACCAGACCCCTGGAGAAGTCTGATTGGTCTAATGAGATGCGTACTTTTGGTATTACATAGATTAATGTTCCTATCCATCAGTATCTAAACCCTTACTATACCGCACATCTCCTTGATAGTAACACAATGGCTTCCCATTTTACTTGTAAACATTTGTTAAACATCCCTGTTCTACTTTTAACTGCTGTAGATCTACAGGTAATGTAACCAATCAAGAGGGGGAAATGTTCTCATAATTTCATCAAAGGATGAATATTAGCATTTTATGTTCTGTTAATTTGTTAATAGAGGTGATCAAACTGGCAAACTAATTATGATCCAAGGAGACATGATTATGTACTCAGAAACTTACACAAATGAGCACTATGGGTAGACAGTATTTTAATGAGTTTCTATGAAAAGATTTTCCTTTTTTCTGTAATTGTTAATAAATATGATATCTCAGGTAGTTTTTCTTTGGGAAATATAAAGTATAGGACAGGATATCAAAAAAACCTTTGATGACAAGTACATGTACTTTATATGATTTGTCATTAGAGATAAAATCAATACAATCAATTACCACATGACTTGCATATTTATCAAAATTCAATAAAGTTTTTTTTTTTAAAAAGGTTGCCAAAACTTGCCAAGCTAACAATGCTTTGCCTGCCTGGGATCAGATGTTACTGTATAATTGTCTGGTCTTACCTTCTGTTAGCAGTCCTGATTATTTTATCCTAGATACAGATCTGGCTATCATCCTTATTATAAGCTGTATTAAAACAAATTACTTGATTCACATCAGAGGTTCTTTATAAGTGTTAATCCTGTCCCAGACTGTCTGTATATAAGGACTGGTAAACCAAAGACAGTCTGGTGTTGGTTGGTTGTTTGGTTCGGGGGATTAACTTGTTCTTAAAAAAGCTTTTGCAAAAATCTTATTCAGACATTATTTTGTTTTTCAATTTCATCTAAATTCCTTCCATTTAACAATTTTTTGTCCATTAATATCTGAATCTTTTGTTATAAGAGTTGAGATGAGTAAATTTAGTCCATTTACATAACAATTTTTTAATCTTTATTTTAACAAATTTTACATTCTATATAAAATAATTTTGTTTTTGCCAAACCGAACTAAATGACAAAATAATCATGTAACTTTAATGTAATAGAAAACTTAAGATAAGTTTTTGAAAACAAAAAACATATGTCTCCCCTTATTAAACATTGATGCAGAAAGTACCCAAACAGTTACATTTAAATGTTACAACTAAAATGTTTGCACTTATTTAACCTTTGACCTAGAGGTTAAGGTCACAGTGACCTAATTAATGACAGTGCACTGCACGTTGTCTGTGGGTGATGCAGATATACTACTAGATTCATCAAGATATCTTTAACGGTTTAAAAGTTATGGCCCAGACTAGTTGTAACTGAAAAGGATGCACTTGTTTGACCTTGAGGTCACCGTGACCTTTTGACAGTGCACTGAACATATTGTCTCTGAGTGATGCTGGTATACTGCAAGTTTCATTGAGATATCTTAAACTGTTTAAAAGTAATGGCCCGGACAAGTCAGATTAGAGGAATCAGAAGAATCAGAAGAAGAGGAGCCAGTACTAACACAATATCGCCCTTCTTTCGAAGAGGAGACATAATAAAGTAAACGTTAGTTTTGAATTAATGTACAATCATGAGATCTTAAGACCATTTCAATCATTTTAGTGTAGTACGTATACATGTAACAGTATTTCCAAGAAATTTCCACTCACTCTAAAATCTTCACAATCCTCCTGGAGTGTAGAAAGTATTAGTAAATTATCTGACATAGACATCTGTAGACCCTGGCAACAGTCCAGATTAACATTACTTTAAATCAATAGACAAAGATTGTAACATACATGGACAAGTCCTGAACCCCCTGTGCTCCGTCTCTTAACTGACATACTGTAAACCATAAAAGGATAAAGATGAACCTTAATCTGAAGACAACTCGGCAGATAGCTTTATATTTCGTACAGCCCAAAGGGACTGACCACCCAGTGACTGCAGAAGAGATTGTCCATGTTGACCGTCCGTAGTAACTGCCGTCTGATAAACGTTGGGAAAGAATTTCAGTTAACTTCTTACTCGACCCTGTATTTAGTGTGGAGGAAATTAGTCAGACAATCGTAATATTAGTGTTATTATTTCCCCTGTACTAAGTCTAACATTATTGATCGTCAAGTGTTAAATCTCTGGGGTTCTAGCCTTATCGCTCATGCTTTATACATATTGTCACTTACTGACCAGACGACTGTACCTACTAATTTATATATACCGGTATGTATCATAAGTGCCACACAATATTTGAACAAACTTTCTAAAGACTGAAAATTGGTATACCATGAACTATATTACCAAGCAGTAATCAGTCTGAGCATGTGTCGGGGACTGTCCCTATGAAGGATTCATTCCTGGAGCCTACTGAAGTCTTGTAAAACAAAACATACTAATAGCTTCAGATGTTGCCTGTCTTGTGGAGAACTTTTGTTATATTACCTATCTTTAGCTACTGTATATGTTGGAGAGTTTAATCAGGGCCCCAACTCTGTCACTCTCCTATATTGTCAGGGGCAATAAAAAGTTTGAACAATCCACTTTCCCCTTCTCTCCACCATCTTTAATTTCCTTAGACAATAACACATTAAAATTGAACTATGAAAAAAAATGACTCTGATCCACTTTCCCTTTCTTTCCTTAGACAATTGCTATTCTCCTTGCCTTAGTCTTTGCTCCTAAAAGACGCACCATTTACCACAAAAGTATTGCCTAGCGCAAACAGTAGCTAGGTAAAGTAGCAAAATCTAACCCCAACATCCCATGTGACAAAATTCCAAGACCTGCATTGTAATGCGTCAACCCAGACAGAGGTTCTATCAAACCAGTTATCTGTTCTCAGCAGTCAACCCAGACAGAGGTTCTATCAAACCAGTTATCTGTTCTCAGCAGTCAACCCAGACAGAGGTTCTATCAAACCAGTTATCTGTTCTCAGCAGTCAACCCAGACAGAGGTTCTATCAAACCAGTTATCTGTTCTCAGCAGTCAACCCAGACAGAGGTTCTATCAAACCAGTTATCTGTTCTCAGCAGTCAACCCAGACAGAGGTTCTATCAAACCAGTTATCTGTTCTCAGCAGTCAACCCAGACAGAGGTTCTATCAAACCAGTTATCTGTTCTCAGCAGTCAACCCAGACAGAGGTTCTATCAAACCAGTTATCTGTTCTCAGCAGTCAACCCAGACAGAGGTTCTATCAAACCAGTTATCTGTTCTCAGCAGTCAACCCAGACAGAGGTTCTATCAAACCAGTTATCTGTTCTCAGCAGTCAACCCAGACAGAGGTTCTATCAAACCAGTTATCTGTTCTCAGCAGTCAACCCAGACAGAGGTTCTATCAAACCAGTTATCTGTTCTCAGCAGTCAACCCAGACAGAGGTTCTATCAAACCAGTTATCTGTTCTCAGCAGTCAACCCAGACAGAGGTTCTATCAAACCAGTTATCTGTTCTCAGCAGTCAACCCAGACAGAGGTTCTATCAAACCAGTTATCTGTTCTCAGCAGTCAACCCAGACAGAGGTTCTATCAAACCAGTTATCTGTTCTCAGCAGTCAACCCAGACAGAGGTTCTATCAAACCAGTTATCTGTTCTCAGCAGTCAACCCAGACAGAGGTTCTATCAAACCAGTTATCTGTTCTCAGCAGTCAACCCAGACAGAGGTTCTATCAAACCAGTTATCTGTTCTCAGCAGTCAACCCAGACAGAGGTTCTATCAAACCAGTTATCTGTTCTCAGCAGTCAACCCAGACAGAGGTTCTATCAAACCAGTTATCTGTTCTCAGCAGTCAACCCAGACAGAGGTTCTATCAAACCAGTTATCTGTTCTCAGCAGTCAACCCAGACAGAGGTTCTATCAAACCAGTTATCTGTTCTCAGCAGTCAACCCAGACAGAGGTTCTATCAAACCAGTTATCTGTTCTCAGCAGTCAACCCAGACAGAGGTTCTATCAAACCAGTTATCTGTTCTCAGCAGTCAACCCAGACAGAGGTTCTATCAAACCAGTTATCTGTTCTCAGCAGTCAACCCAGACAGAGGTTCTATCAAACCAGTTATCTGTTCTCAGCAGTCAACCCAGACAGAGGTTCTATCAAACCAGTTATCTGTTCTCAGCAGTCAACCCAGACAGAGGTTCTATCAAACCAGTTATCTGTTCTCAGCAGTCAACCCAGACAGAGGTTCTATCAAACCAGTTATCTGTTCTCAGCAGTCAACCCAGACAGAGGTTCTATCAAACCAGTTATCTGTTCTCAGCAGTCAACCCAGACAGAGGTTCTATCAAACCAGTTATCTGTTCTCAGCAGTCAACCCAGACAGAGGTTCTATCAAACCAGTTATCTGTTCTCAGCAGTCAACCCAGACAGAGGTTCTATCAAACCAGTTATCTGTTCTCAGCAGTCAACCCAGACAGAGGTTCTATCAAACCAGTTATCTGTTCTCAGCAGTCAACCCAGACAGAGGTTCTATCAAACCAGTTATCTGTTCTCAGCAGTCAACCCAGACAGAGGTTCTATCAAACCAGTTATCTGTTCTCAGCAGTCAACCCAGACAGAGGTTCTATCAAACCAGTTATCTGTTCTCAGCAGTCAACCCAGACAGAGGTTCTATCAAACCAGTTATCTGTTCTCAGCAGTCAACCCAGACAGAGGTTCTATCAAACCAGTTATCTGTTCTCAGCAGTCAACCCAGACAGAGGTTCTATCAAACCAGTTATCTGTTCTCAGCAGTCAACCCAGACAGAGGTTCTATCAAACCAGTTATCTGTTCTCAGCAGTCAACCCAGACAGAGGTTCTATCAAACCAGTTATCTGTTCTCAGCAGTCAACCCAGACAGAGGTTCTATCAAACCAGTTATCTGTTCTCAGCAGTCAACCCAGACAGAGGTTCTATCAAACCAGTTATCTGTTCTCAGCAGTCAACCCAGACAGAGGTTCTATCAAACCAGTTATCTGTTCTCAGCAGTCAACCCAGACAGAGGTTCTATCAAACAGTTATTTGTTCTCAGCAGTCAACCCAGACAGAGGTTCTATCAAACCAGTTATCTGTTTTCAGCAGTCAACCCAGACAGAGGTTCTCTCAAACCAGTTATCTGTTCTCAGCAGCCAACCCAGACAGAGGTTCTATCAAACCAGTTATCTGTTCTCAGTACAGATCTATTACACACATAAATGTTCCTTAAATCTGTAACAGGACAGACCAAGATTTGAACCAAGGATCCTCCTCACTGTAGACAGAGCCTTACCAACTCAATTACTGGCCACAGGTAACTGATCCACATTAAAGTCAAGTTCTACACTGGGGTCACAACAATAACTTTCTGTACAGTTGGTCCATGAAATTACATCTAATGTTGCTTTTGAAGTTATCATAAAAGGATCGAAATCTGATGACAATTTTGGAATCAGACATTGAGCCCTTCTCTGGTCAAATCAGGAAAAATGTATTCAGTTTTCATTTTCAACAACCTGATATTAATTTGAAAAGCATTTTTTCACATCAATATATACTGACCAGTTATTTTCATTCTGAAGGTATTTCAATATTTAAACATAAAACATAAAGAAAATTAAATCCTAGTATGATGTGATCAAGACAGAAAAGTTTTTTGACTGTAAGGAAAACAGAGTAGTCTACCTTGGTACACTCTTCTTCAAACTCCCTCAGCTGTAGGCACTGTTCTAGCTTGCAGAGTCGACTGTCAGACAGACGGACAAGTTTGACAATCGTTGTCTGTAGGTTGTCATACAACTCGTTCATGCTCATCATGCTGTCCCTGGAGAAAAGTCAAAATACAAATATTATAGATGGAAGACGTTAGCCATTTTTTAACATATGTATATTTTTTTCCCTAATTTCAAAACTTAATTTTTATTTAATTCACTTTGATTTTTTTCTGAAATTCAATCAGAAGTAAAGGTTGAGGAATGATACTACAACTGGACCCACCTATAATCCTGGGAGTGAGAGAGGTGGACAACCTCTCTCTGGAGACAGTTGATCACCCCCTCACCATCAGTCTGGACTGACATAAGGCGCTGATCTTCGAACACAGACTTGATGAGTTGTTCATGGTGTTCTATTAGCTGATTGGCCTCCTTGGTCGTCCTAGGCACACCTGCAGCATCTGAGAGGTCCTGCATGATACACACAAGGTACTTGGCAGCAGCCTGTAGCTTAGACACAAATGGGTCCAGTTTCTGAAAACAACGAAAATATCAATCATGTTATCTAGATAACATCAATTTGATTTCTGTTGCAAACCAATGGGTCCAACTTCTATAAATAGCAATCAAATTTTAAGCCACCTTCATAAACTTGAATTTTTCTGAGAAATTTTACCTAAAGTTCTGGACATTTTTATTTCAATCTCTGATCACCTTGACAAGACTTAGTGTACATAGCACCATCAACATGGTATCTAGTAGTTACCATTTGGAACCGGATCCAATCTTCGTGGCTATAGGCGAAGTGGCCATCCAGTGCCACCGGGATACTGTCTGGTGGCAAGTACTTATGTAAGGTCTCCATGGACACCAGCACTTCCAACTGTAGATGAAAACGAAACCATGTAATATTCGTACCAGAATTCAAATCCAATACTGTTTTAAACCCTAGACAGATGTTCTAGCTACCACTGAACAGCTCTGAGCTGTAAGGCCAACAGTAATTAATTGCTTGAACTTAAAATGTACTCTCTTTTTTTTTTTATCAAAAAATGTTTACCTGCAAAACCACATGTACCTATAGCCACCCAGATTTTGGGAGCCCCCTTTCCAAACACAAACAGTACTTGTTAACAAGGAATAGTCACATTAGTCCAAGACCAACACATCGTTATAACAAGAAAGGAAATAACTCAGGCATGTTGTGTTTCAAGCGTGTAATAATAGTCTATCAATAACATATCATTGATGATATCTATCAAGTTTAACAATGAATTCCGCATGAAATGATGATAACACATAACTGCTAGTGATATACTAAATATGTAGGTCACAGACAGATTGTGGGACTTGTTTACATTGAGTATACCATATACCAGCACAATGATAAATGATGAACAGGGATTATTTATAGTTTTGTACCGTATCGTACATGAAAATAAGGACCAGATTTGATTTTTCATCTGCGAGTAAAATGTTGTATGAACAACATACGCAGGACGAGCATATCACTGGTAATGTACAGTTACAAGAAATCTGACACTCAAATTAATTAACAGGATTGTCATACTACTGGAGTTGTGCATCAAAAGTCAGAGTAAAATGACTTGTGTTTAAAGCATCAGATCATTTATATTGACACTTCTATATGTTGTAAGATGTGTCTCCAGGTAAGTAGGGATTGTTCTATACCTGTCTCCAGGTAAGTAGGGATTGTTATATACCTGTCTCCAGGTAAGTAGGGATTGTTATATACCTGTCTACATCAGGTAAGTATGGATTGTTCTATGCCTGTCTATATCAGGTAAGTAGGGATTGTTATATACCTGTCTCCAGGTAAGTAGGGATAGTTCTATATCTGTCTCCAGGTAAGTAGGGATAGTTCTATTCCTGTCTACATCAGGTAAGTAGGGATAGTTCTATACCTGTATCCAGGTAAGTAGGGATAGTTCTATACCTGTCTACATCAGGTAAGTATGGATTGTTCTATGCCTGTCTACATCAGGTAAGTAGGGATTGTTATATACCTGTCTCCAGGTAAGTAGGGATAGTTCTATATCTGTCTCCAGGTAAGTAGGGATTGTTCTATACCTGTCTCCAGGTAAGTAGGGATTGTTATATACCTGTCTACATCAGGTAAGTATGGATTGTTCTATGCCTGTATACATCAGGTAAGTAGGGATAGTTCTATACCTGTCTCCAGGTAAGTAGGGATAGTTCTATATCTGTCTGCAGGTAAGTAGGGATAGTTGTATACCTGTCTCCAGGTAAGTAGGGATATTTCTATATCTGTCTCCAGGTAAGTAGGGATTGTTCTATACATGTCTCCAGGTAAGTAGGGATAGTTCTATATTTGTCTCCAGGTAAGTAGGGATAGTTCTATATTTGTCTCCAGGTAAGTAGGGATAGTTCTATACCTGTCTCCAGGTAAGTAGAGATAGTTCTTTACCTGTCTCCAGGTAAGTAGGGATAGTTATATACCTACCTGTCTACGTCAGGTAAGTAGGGATTGTTATATATCTGTCTACGTCAGGTAAGTAGGGATTGTTCTATACCTGTCTACGTCGGGTAAGTAGGGATTGTTCTATACCTGTCTCCAGGTAAGAACAGGTGAGGTGGACAGAGGTGTTTTTCTTGGAAATAAATGACAAGTGTTTGTATTCTTATCTGTCATTTTACATGAGGCAGCTAAAAGAAAATAAGACAAATGTACAAAACAAATTGAACAAGACATGTATGTGTGTATCTATATATTAATCTATATATTATTTTTTGGTTTAAATGTTTATATATTTCCCTTTTAATTTCAATTAAGGCTAGAAAATTGTGAGACTCTACATCCCCCATCTTCTCCTTCCTTTGTCCTATTCATTTAAAGAGAGTGATTATGATTTGAAATTTCTGTTTTAACTGCATCCTTTGAGGATGAAATAACTGGAACACTTGCATCAGTATGGTAGTATTGCTGGAGTTACTCCCCCTTCCTTGATCAATTCTTCAGTCTAAATGGAATTGATACATTACTCCTTTATCTTCATGGTAAGGATTTTTAGTCAAATTTCGGTACTTTTTTGATGAGTGACCATCCTTCTCAATCACTCAATACTAAACACATCTGAACACATGCTTTAATCAATACAAGACAGAATATGGACAACTGAACATCTGTCAAAAGTCAAATTTAGAAGATGATAATTTACCAGATAAAAATATTAGTCTTGGACAAGATATTGATGTCGTCTTTAACCTGGTGTGATGTAATTAACAAATCGAATCTTCAGTGTTAATGAGAAAACTTCATGCAATATTGATTACCAGGAGAAACTCTTTAAAGTGCAATTACAACACTAAACTCTTAATATAGTGGTTACATGCATAATGCCAGCGATTGGTCAAACAGGGTTTCATTGGTCAGCAGCAAATGACATGTACATACCCTGAATGTGGCCAATGGGTCGTACACGGGCGATTTCATCACCAGCGGTTCTGAGGTTTCATTGGCTAACATGTAGACAGTTGACAAGGCTCCTGGACAGTTACCCTGGTAACAGAAAGGGTAACAGAAACACATCAAATACAGCTTAGTGTTTCACAGGCAGACTGGATACAGCATGAATATTACATGACAAGAAAGTCTACCATTAGCCTCACTAGACAAGGCGACGCCAATATTTAAACTGTTGATAGAGATGACAACTATAGGACAGCTCCGTACACAAAAGGGACGTCACAAACATATGACAGTCACCTCTGGCCTTAGTGCTCCAACATTTATAACTAATGTAATGCATTTTTGTGATGGCCCAAGGTATCTCCCTTACTGTTCTATAGTTTCTTATCTTTCCCATACAATGTTATATTACAATAGGACACAGTCAATCAATATTCACCAAGGACCGATACTGAGATCTGAATTGAAACCGGTCTAAACCATATTTGCGAGCACATCTGGATTAAAACAAAGGAATAAACAGTGATTACACATGAAGTTTGACCCCTGACAATATTACCTGTAGTAGATACATAGTCTCTAGCAGGGTGTTGACCGTGGAACTGGACGCTCCCCGAATATCTGCCACAAGTTTCAGACCCTTCTTTTGAACATTGTCCCTGCAATCAAAAAATGTTATTTTTTAATGATTCTCATTTCTATGGCTCTATTTCAGTTGGACCTAATATAAAACATAAAATTAATGTTTACAGAAGTCTGGTTATAGATGAAACAATTACCATTGTAATATAAAGTACATTCTAACAAAACCAGAAACTGAACAGAATGTTTACAAGGGGAATGGGCGGAACGATATTATAAAGAAAATGAGAAGGAGGCTTTCCTAGGGACTCAGCAGGAAGACATATTACCTGGAAACTGGAAAGGAGACTTACCTGGGAACAGACCGATAGTACAGTAAAGTACGAGCCAGTTCCACACTGGAAACCTTCTGTAGTTGCCACAGGGAACTCCTAGTGAAGATGAACACAATAGCACAGCCCTCAATGTCCCGGCATCCTGTCAAAGACAAAACATACACATTACTGATACACTTCTTAAGCTTGTCAATTACATCATCAATTTCAAACTGGTACTTTATGTCTTTTGTGGTCCAGTCTTTGGCTTGGTACCTACATATATCGTTTGTGGTCAAGTCTCTGGCTTGGTACCTACACATATCGTTTGTGGTCAAGTCTTTGGCTTGATACCTACACATATCGTTTGTGGTCAAGTCTGTGGCTTGGTACCTACATATATCGTTTTTGGTCAAGTCTGTGGCTTGGTACCTACATCAAATCTAAATAGCTTATGAATTTGTAAGAGATGTACCAAGCTGTTAAATGATGTGTGTACAATGTCAATATCACAAAACCTAGTTAATCACTCTAGTTATCTGGCTTTAAGCCTATGCCTGTTAATAAGCCCACCCATATATATTGCAGGATAAATACTCTAGGTAACAAATTAACAAACGATATAACATGGAAAAGATGGGCTTAAATTGTTTGCAAACCACTGTCTTTGTCAAAAGAAACGATGACTGTCCAGAGGTATATGTATCGGTACAGGTGAAGACAGCTTCTGTAAAAATTGATGGCTTAAGGTTATAGAATAATTGTTCATGAGAGTGGAAACAAACTAAACATGGAAAGATGATAAAAATAACAAAGAACAAATCCAGGTACAATAGAACATTATTATCTGGACACCCTGAGGAATACCACAAAAATAGTGCTGGAGCTATAACCAAAGTATTCTGCTTGTCCAGATAAAGTTCATTTTAATTAAAGTCCTTATTGAACATTCATGGTACTGTTCAAGAAAGTATTTTTAGTGATTGCAATATCCTACACACACCAGCTTCCAGGATATATTATAAGCCAGTAAGGACAGTCACTGAGAGCCTGTATTAACAGAAACTGAGAGCCTGTATAGACAGAAACTGAGAGCCAGTATGGACAGAAACTGAGAGCCAGTATGGACAGAAACTGAGAGCCTGTATGGATAGAAACTGAGAGCCTGTATGACAGAAACTGAGAGCCTATATGGACAGAAACTGAGAGCCAGTATGGACAGACAGAGAGAGCATGTGTGGACAGATAGTGAGAGCCTGTATGGACAGATAGTGAGAGCATGTATGGACAGACAGTGAGAGCCTGTATGGATAGATAGTGAGAGCCTGTATGGACAGATAGTGCGAGCCTGTATGGACATATAGTGAGAGCCTGTATGGACAGATAGTGAGAGCCTGTATGGACAGACAATGAGAGCCTGTATGGACAGATAGTGAGAGCATGTATGGACAGAAAGTGAGAGCCTGTATGGACAGACAGTGAGAGCATATATGGACAGACAGTGAGAGCATGTATGGACAGATAGTGAGAGCATGTATGGATAGATAGTGAGAGCATGTATGGATAGATAGTGACAGCATGTATGGACAGATAGTGACAGCATGTATGGACAGGTAGTGAGAGCCTGTATGGATAGATAGTGACAGCATGTATGGACAGATAGTGACAGCATGTATGGACAGATAGTGAGAGCATGTATGGACAGAAAGTGAGAGCCTGTATGGACAGACAGTGAGAGCATATATGGACAGACAGTGAGAGCATGTATGGACAGATAGTGACAGCATGTATGGTCAGATAGTGACAGCATGTATGGACAGATAGTGTCAGCATGTATGGACAGGTAGTGAGAGCCTGTATGGATAGATAGGGACAGCATGTATGGACAGATAGTGAGAGCATGTACGGATAGATAGTGAGAGCATGTATGGACAGATAGTGAGAGCATGTATGGACAGAAAGTGAGAGCCTGTATGGACAGACAGTGAGAGCATATATGGACAGACAGTGAGAGCATGTATGGACAGATAGTGAGAGCCTGTATGGACAGATAGTGAGAGCCTGTATGGACAGACAATGAGAGCCTGTATCGACAGATAGTGAGAGCATGTATGGACAGAAAGTGAGAGCCTGTATGGACAGACAGTGAGAGCATATATGGACAGACAGTGAGAGCATGTATGGACAGATAGTGAGAGCCTGTATGGACCGATAGTGACAGCATGTATGGACAGATAGTGACATCATGTATGGACAGATAGTGACAGCATGTATGGACAGGTGGTGAGAGCCTGTATGGATAGATAGTGACAGCATGGATGGACAGATAGTGACAGCCTGTATGGACAGATAGTCACAGCATGTATGGACAGATAGTGACAGCATGTATGGACAGGTAGTTAAGGGAGTATACTGACACGGCTATACTGGTAACATGCCAGATTTATAGCTGATGGGATGGTTTCATACATAACTAAATTAGTAAGAACATTCTAGGAGAAACACAGACCTCAGGCTATGGATCTTTTGCATGCCCAAGAGACATAAACAGCATCTATAAATGTTAATCCACATCTGAGGGTAGCTCTGTAACAGACCTCCTCAATACTGAGAGCAGGTCATCAGGGAACAAAATATATATGTTTATACTTTGGTATAACCTGGCTTGGTAATAGAACCTAGTGTTATCAACTTCTGAAATAAGCTGGCATACACGACCTACAAACACCAAGCAACGGAATGACATGTACTATATGTATTTGTTTCAGTATTACTTGGCTGGGTATGGAACCTTTCACCGGTAATCTGGCATGCAGTACTAGTACAGGTGACCAGATGAGCTACTGTGGTGCCCTCATTGCCCCAGCTTGTAAGCAATCTAGACTAAATGAAATTGTTTTGTACAATGTTAATCTAATACTGCTGTCTCGTCTATATGGAATGCTTTGAAGATTTAACTGTCAATTAACCTAGCCTGTCTACCTGTTCGCATCAATCTTCAGAACAAAGTCGTTAGGAAGATATTTACAGGTAAATTACTGATAGTGTACCTTCGACAGACCAATCTCTGACAATTAGCCAGGAGATACAAACAGGAATAACCAATTAGCTACAGACGCCTCATTAGATGTTTTAATTGTACTTCGGGAGTGTACTTCAGTCACAAATGTTACACTAGAATATATTAGTAGTGTATAAATATACCTGTAAATTAATTGAGCAGGTCAAGTTGTACAAAGGAATGACGGCACAGAAATATAGGATCAATGAATCTTACTTACAGCAAGTTAAATTCCCTTCTAATGCACCTCAAATCTAATTTAAACACCTACGACTTGAGCAAGTCTAACTGTCCACATCAAAGGATGATACTGCAGAGATAGGATTAATGACTCTTACAAGAAAGTTCCATTCACTTCTTCTAAATCATGCACCTTCTCAAATGTAATTTCATTGATACTTTTTTTTAACAACGTGACCTAAATTATGTGGTCCAATTCCTGTCTTTGACATGCGACGTGAACAAAACCCCGGAGATGTTTTGGTTTACAAGAGTAGCTTTATAGACACAGAAGGTCAAGGAAACAAAATATTGGCAACTTTTGAGACAATCCCTATCACTAAGAGACTAGGTTTTGACTCAACACCAAAGAGTAAAGACAGAGAGATGATGAAAGTGTTGGTGATAATTAAGATGGTCTGTGATGACAGCACTGATAGCCAGGTGTTTGTGGCAAAGGTCATACCTCACCTCACATGTGTAACAGTCAGACATTCAAACATGTACAATTAATGCTTGGATCATACAAACATGTACCAGACTTGGTTAATAAAACAATGTACAGGACTGGGATCAAACATATACAAGACTCAGTTCATACAAACATGTACCAGACTCGGATAATAATACAATATACAGGACTGGGATCAAACATGTACAAGACTCAGATCATACAAACATGTACCAGACTCAGATCATACAAACATGTACAAGACTCAGTTCATACAAACATGTACAAGACTCAGATCATACAAACATGTACCAGACTCGGATAATAAAACAATGTACAGGCCTGGGATCAAACATATACAAGACTCTGATCATACAAACATGTACCAGACTCGGACAATAAAACAATGTACAGGACTGGGATCAAACATATACAAGACTCTGATCATACAAACATGTACCAGACTCGGATAATAATACAATATACAGGAGGGGGATCAAACATGTACAAGACTCAAATCATACAAACATGTACCAGACTTGGATAATAATACAATATACAGGACTGGGATCAAGCATGTACAAGACTCAGATCATACAAACATGTACCAGACTCGGATAATATTAATACAATATACAGGACTGGGATCAAACATATACAAGACTCAGATCATACAAACATGTACCAGACTCGGATAATAATACAATATACAGGAGTGGGATCAAACATGTACAAGACTCAAATCATACAAACATGGACAGGACTGGGATGAAACTTGTCTAAAATTTAGATCAATACAAATATTTCTAAGATTCAGATCAAAGTTGGTCACAGAAAACTTTGGAATGGGATTAAAGATTGTCAACTGTGTGAATAAACATAATTATGCCAATAACTCTGTGAGGATTACTTTCATTGTTGCACATCTACACCCTCTATTGGACAGCAATAATTAGACCAAAGCAATCCCCATCTTAAAACATAACTTATCTTTCACACACAAGCTACTCCCTATAGGATCTATAAGGACTTAACCAGATCGACAGTATTCTCTCTGATAATGTTTATTACCTTGAAAATAAAAGTAAGCTTAATGGACTAGGGACATGGAGAATTAGTCAACATTTTCCTACCCCTGTAGGTGACCCCCTGACCTCAAAATCAATATGGTCACCACCTTTGACTGTGTGGTCACAGGTGTACCTGTCCATCATCTCAGGTCTGGGATACTTGAATACACATCTGTATTAACTGTCATTTTATTATCTTATTGTTATCACCCCAGCTAGTGTACTGCTTTGATCTGTGCCCGACCACAGATATACATAACGTGGGGAAGCATTCCACAGAATCAGGTCACAAAAACCGGAGATATGCTAACATGAGGAAAATATCTAATTGTATGCAATACTCTCTAACATTATTGTACTTA